ATATAAGAGCTGTAATCTCAGTTAGATTTGCCTGGTTAAATAAGTGTTAAATAAATACAAATAATATGAATGGTTTCCCTGTTCCTTTTTCCGCACTATCCGTCTGATAATGGGGTTGCAGTTCCTCTTGCATCCACATCCTGGGAGAGACTGGCTATAGTTTCATGAACAAAAACTTAAAAACTCACTTTTTTATTACACTGGCTTTTAATTCAAGTTCAGTTTGAGCTACCTCAGGAATCTGTAATTTGTGTCTTTTTATTTGTTTTAGGTTGTTATTGGTTTTATTTGTATCATGTCTGTGAAACACTTTGGTCAACACTGTTGTTTTTAAATGTGCTATATAAATAAAGTGATGATGATGATGATGATGATGATGATGATGATGATGATGATGATGATGATGAATCTTAATTTTTTAAAATAATTTTGATAACTGTGGACAAGAGGAATATGAAGCTGATGGAGATGGTCTTGCAGCTTATACCTTTAACGTGGATATCRTTTGTCTTCTTTCTCTGCTCCATGTGGCACACAGTGATACCCAACTATCCAGTGATGTTTGTGCCATTTAAACTAGCTGATGAAAAGCTTGAAGGTACCTGTAAGACTAAATAAGGTCAGAGAGAYGCTTAGTGAATGAAAAGATTAATAGTCTACCTAAGGGTAACAACAAAACAGTCCAATCTCTTTAAGCAAATCTTTGTAAAATAAACAAAATCATTCATTCACATTTAATATTTTCTCTGCGAGAAGCTAAAGACATGCAGACATACAGAAGATTGCTTTGAACTGAATTATTTTTCACATAAATGAAGCATTTTTAATTAGCTGTAACTAGCCTATCAACACATCATCTGCATCTGTATTATCATATCAACCACTATAACAGTATCAAGCAAGCATACAAGGGATGAAAAAGGTGACAAACTTATCATGGGGGTGGGTCTAGAAAATCTACTTAAAACTATGCCTGTTCCAACCATTTAAAGTGCRATGTCTGATTTCATGTTTCATCGTTGATGAGAATCAAACAGTTGTACAGGTTCAACATGATGTGGACACTGTGGTTTTAAAACTATTCTTACTCAAGTGGCACAGCAAGAAGTTCGWAGTTTTAAAACTCATGTGGAGCTTACACGCTGCATGCATGGGTTTCTATGGAGAACCAAAACTGACAATTACAATTAAAAGTGGAAATATTTACTGTACATGGCCCAATAAGTAAATAAATACACTTAAAATGCACCAATTAATAAAAAAGAGAACTTTACCTCATGTTTTTTTATTTAATTGGCCTTCATATAAATATATATATTTTCCAGCTTAGTTTCGACAAATTATATATTAAAGCATATAGTTTAAATTTTACTGTTTTTAAATTTTATTTTTGTTTGTTTGTTTTTGCTTTTACTTGGATCCTGCTCCTTCCTGTATGT